AGAGATCAGATTCAAGTGGAGTCCTGTAGCTCAGCGGTTAGAGCACTCACCTCGCAAGAGGGAGGAACTGGGTTTGATTTCCGGCAGAGTGAAACGTTGGGCAAGTTCCCTTACCCCAAACCCTTCTGTTTACTTAGCAGTAAGTAAGAACTTGGTTGTCAGTCAATTAGCGGATCGTTTTTCCGGGGGTAATAATCCCTTGAAAAAAACAATAATAATTACACTTACTCCCTGACTGTTTGTGGGACACTGCTGTGCGCAATTGGCTGCCACGTTTTGCCCAAAAAATATACAGTCAATTCACTTTACAGTATATTTTGAGAAGCACTTTTAGATGTCTAGGAGACATTATAAGGCGTTATATCAAATGCAAGGATTATTATTATTATTATTATCGCCTTGTGTTTGGCTATTAAGGTTGTTTGTGCTGAATACAGAGTAATTGCACATGTTCGCTGCCCCAGCACTAAAGCAATGCCCAGCACTGTTTTATGCCTTCAATTGCCACCAGCAGAAATACAAGCCTTCCAATGAAATTCAACGCGAGGTGCATTCACGCAAATCAAACAGCTTATCAACAGGAATTCAGCCACTTGACCTTTCCTAATGAGCTAGACGTAATTTCTTTTGGCAGTAACAGAAGCAGAACCAGTTCTCATAACCCCACAGGGTTTTAGGGACGATGAGCGCTCATGTTTCATGGTGAAAGATTTATTAAACGTTTATTACAAGTTAAAAAGACCATTTTTTTTTAGCTCCGCAAGGCAATTTGCTTTCAGCAACTGGGTCACCAAAAACAGAATGCTCTTCCCCACACCACCACCTCTTCCCCCATTCACCTAGCCAGCTGCTTGCTCGCCAGCCCGCCTTTTATGTACAAGCCTTGATGGAAAATTTAAGAGAGGTACGACAAAAGCTTGCATTTTTAAGTAGCCTTTAAACGAGATAGCATCTCGAAGTGCTTAACTGTGGTGCATAACAGGGATGGGGGGGGGGGGGGGGGGGGAAGGTGAATGTAGGCATGAGATTCTTACATATCAGGTTTTAGATATGAAAAATGCAACATGACATCTCCTATCTGAGGGAATCCACCTTCAACCCCACAATCCCTCTATTCTCCTTTCTCCATCCCTCCTCCTCTCTGCTAATATACTCCCATCGTCTCTCTTGACCCTCCGCTCACACTACCAGAGATCCGATACATTGCCCTATCCTAAGGGCACCATATGAACGCAAGTTGCTGCTGTTGTTGTTGGCCAAGGCACCGGGAAGAACTCCCTTCCTTCCGACAATGTGGGGCTCATTACATTGGATTGTCGGCCTGGACGATGAGCTCAAAAGCGAAAATAAAAGATCATTCCATAGTCCGAGCTTTCAAATCCTGGCAAAATAGTTTTGAACATTTTTCAGAAAATCAACAACCACATTGTGTGGTATTCAGGATTAATTACAGATTGGAGGCCAAAATTGGGCGGGGGGGGCACGAAGCAAGCTGGTGATCGCAGGGCAAAGAGAGCGGTTGGGTCAGTAGGGTGTCAGGAGGTCACCAAGGTAGGGTGGGGATGCATTGGAGTGGGGAGTTCAAGTCCTGTGGTGGGATTTCTACACACAACCTTCTGATGAGAATGCTATCACTGAGCCAAGCCTCTTGTTCCTGAATGCAGCCCTGTTCTGCCAGCCGGGAGTGGATGAATGATTTAGAAACAGTCTGTACTGAGTCCAGGCTTGCCAGCAACACTAAAATGAACAGATAGCTGCTCTCAACTTCTGTGCTTCTGGCACGTTTTAGGCCAGGGTTAACGTCTGTCACTACAAACCTTAGCCAACTCTCTGGACCAGACTGCACTGGGTGCAGAATCAAAGCAAACCTGTAACTTGGATTTCCCCCATTAGGAATATAGGAACAGGAGTAGGCCATTCAGCCCCTCGAGCCTGTTCTGCCATTTTCTTTGGAAGGATTATTACCCCCAGAAAGCCATTCACCAACCAACAACCAGGTTCCTTCTTACTGCTAGGTAAAGAGGTGTGTAAAGTAAGGAAACTTGCCTAAGGTTTTGCCCTGCCCAGGAATCAAACCTGGATCCTCTCGCTTGTGAGGCGAGTGCGCTAACCAGCACACTACGGGACTCTACTTTGCAAAAGGTCGGGTGAAACGGGACTCTGGCATTGGCCGAAAGGAAATGAGTAGAGAAGAGACTTTTTGGCACTGTAGACTGTATCAAAGGCAGGAATTATAATTGTCAGAATCAGAATGATTTAGTGCCTTTTCCAGATATATTCAGAAGAGGGCAACAGCAGCTGGAAGCTTGTGAAAGGCAGCAGTAAAAGCAGATCAAGGAACACAAAGGCAACGGAAGTGGCACTTGTCTTCACTGCCAACACTATCAGACTCCCCTCATATAGCATCTTTATTACTCAATTTATTTTCTCCACATTTCGGAACAGTTTCACATTCAAGAGGAACAAAGTAAATTAAAAGCAAGCACATTTGATCGCAGAACTGTGAAATTAATTTAACCACATTTCAACGTGCAGTGAGTGCGAGTTTGAAAATTTAAATGACGTTCTCACACAACGGCTTTCCAACCCGAATTTTCTCTTCTCATTTCTTTCCGACCAAGGCCACAGGTGTGTTTCACCTGAACTTCGCGAAGACAAATCGGAAACAAAGTGAGGCTTTAATGTTTTATATCCATCCACCACTGTTTGTGGGACGCTGCTGTGCTCAATTGGCTGCCACGTTTCGCCCACAAAATACACAGTCAACTCACTTTACAGTATATCCTGTGAAGTGCTTTGAGATGTCTCAACGATGTGATAAGGCGCTGTATCAAACACAAATGCAAGGATTATTTAATTTAGTCGCCACCACCACCACCACTCACCCAATAGAAGAATTCTTCTATCACACGCTTGTTCACCACTCCACCAACCACCCCCCCAAACCCACTGAGCTCACCCCTTCTGAACATAATTTCAGTTTTTATATAATTGACTCCAAAAAACACCCAACCTCTTGACTCACACATTGCTCGGAGCAACAACAACAACAACAATGCTCGGATGAAGTCAGGTTTGCTCTTCCCTTTGGCACTAGGTACTTTAACCAGGTTGTCAGCCTGGCTCAGTTGGTAGTAGATATATATATATATAATATACGTTATATATAACGTCACTCCAAATATGAGACTTCTGTTCCGAGGTTTCCTGTGCGACACATTTTATGTCTTGAGGTGCCTTTGCTGACATTTATGCCATTTATGCTTTTACAGCAATTTTTTAACACCTCGAATTTGAGGCATTCGAGACACAAATCCTGACACACGCAGAAATCTCCCGGCACAGACATCAGGAATTACATGTTACGCACACTGTCCCAGAAGGCCCTCGCTCAATTACGATGTTTCAAACGGAGATGGATAGATACAGTGAACTCCTCATAAGTTGATCCTGGCTTAACTTGTCTAACATGCAAAATATTCACAAGGGACTCTGCTTTACATGTCTTCACCCCGCTTAACACAAAATTCATCACTTTCTAGAAATTCTTGTATTTACACTTAATGTAAAATCGATCGGATAATTTGCCGTGACCCGCAGCGAACATCGGCTTTCACATCTCACTTGGAAGTACAGTACCTTGTTATTTCATACACGACAGCATATCTCCCAAGAAATCCAGTATTAAATACAGTAACGGAAATAAGCGACAGGAAACAGAAAATAAGCGCGTCTATAGACACGTCCTATACATATACTTTTACTTTACTTAAACAAGTTTTAACAAATAAAGCAGGCCAGGGCCACTCCGCCACAATGACAGGTGCTCGCTCTATATGCAGGTGCAGTGTGTATTGGTATATTCAGCACATGTTCACAACAACAACACATTACATTTGTATGGTGTCTTTCACGTCGGGAGGACAGTCAGGGATTTCGACCCAAGCAGGAGGTTAGGATCAGGAGGGTGAGAGGGTAGGGAGAATAGGGGTAGGAGGGTGGTCGAAGGCGTGGTCGAAGAGGAGGGTCTTGAGACGTGCCGTGAAGGTGGCACGTCACAATGCCCCCTTGTGGTTCCGGAGGACCTATGCCTAATTTGCCACTTTGGATAACCGGTCACTGAGCCCTTTTTCCTTGGGATGATGAGTTATTAGGAGTTTCCTGTTCTTGGGAAGTGAGAGTGTTGAGGAGGAAATGGAGAAAAGGCAAGAAAATGGAGTTAAAAGTTCCGCCATGATCTAATTAACTAGCAGAAGAGGTTTGATGGGCTGAATGTCCTCCTCCCGTTTCTTTTTCCTCATGTTTCTAATAGAAATAACAGCAGACATAATAATATTTGCATTTAATATAACGCCTGTAGTGAATTAGCATTTTGTAGGCAGATGCAGCAGCCAACTTGCACGTAACAATGTTCCACAAACAGCCATGAAGGGAATGATGATTTTTACCTGGGATACCAGAAGAAAACTCACTTCTCAATTTGAATAGTGCCGTGAGATCTCTTACACCCACCTGAAAAGGCAGACGGGACCTGGTTTTATCGTCTCATCTGAAGGACGGCACCTCCAACAATGCGACACACCATTCAGTACAGCACTGGACTGCCAGCCTAGACTGTGATGTCCATGTGCCAATGTAGGGCTTGAACCCACAACCTTCTGACTGTCAGATGTGAGAGAGCCACCAGTTGAGCCGGGCCAACATTTCAGGAGAAATGTCAAGTTAAAAAGATGTGATCAAACCTTTTATTGCAGGAACGCAGAGATCAGAGGTTGCAGGTTCCTGGAAATCCCATTATTCAGGGAACTTTTAATTCAGACACGGAACAAATCCTGACATGCTCCTTGTTAGCTACAAATAAATCTCCGCAATTTACCGAGACATCTGTTAGTAGCTAACCAAAACGCAATTGTCCGAGGTTTGTCTGTATCGCTCCCCTTTCCCCTCCACCAGAACGGACGAGTCATTCACAATAAAGAAAAACGAGAGAAAGCTTGTACCTTTTCCATGACTGAACGAGCAAGTGTCACAGGATTAGAAACGTTCTTAACACAGCAGATTGCTCCAGCAGCCAGTGTTTTACCGTCCATAATGATTGCATCAAGCTCAACATCACCATCGGCATTCAGCACAGCACCATGACCTGAAGGGAACCATTCAATTTGTTAAAGGTCAGACCTGCTTAGCCTCAAGCCTTAGAAACCAAAGCTGAGCAAACAGTTCCATCTCTGCTCTTTGACAGAAGGCGCCCGCCCCGACCACCCTTAAAGAAAAAAAAATGGCCTCTTCCGATCTCAACACCCTCAACGATAAAATAATCATTGCATTTCATATAGCACCTTTCGCGTCATTGAGACGTCTCCAAGCACTTCACTGTAAAGTGGAATGACTGTGTACTTTGTGGTCGAAACGCCACAGCCAACTGCGTACAGCAGTGTCCCACAGACAGTCGTGGATTTACCAACCAAATTTTGTTTGTGTTTTGTGTGTGGGAGGAGGGATTATCACCCCCGGAAAGTGATCCCCCAATCGATTAATAACTGGGTTCCTCCTTACTGTTAGGTAAACAGAGGCGTGTGGAGTAAGGAAACGCCTAAAGTTTCACCTCACTCAGGAATCGAATCCCAGTCCTCTCGCTCGCGAGGCTAGTGCTCTAACCAATACGCTACAGGAGTGAAGCTGTGGGCAGCACATGGGTTGAGGGCAGCATTAGTAATCAACCTAGGAGTATAGCAGGGCTCGTGGAATTCGTCAAGTGTTACCGGAAATACACTTAACTTCACTTAGAACTGGCCTCGGAAAAGGATGTCGGTACAACAACAACAAGATTTCATTTATAGAGCGCCTTTCACGTCGGGAGGACATCCCAAGGCGCTGGACAGTTGGGTCGGGACCCGAGCAGGGGGGAAATGGTCAGGGTGAGGGGAGGGAAGGGAGGGAGCGAGGAGCGGGGTAGAGAGTCGAGAGGGGAGCTGAAGGCACGGTCGAAGAGAAAGGTCTTGAGACTGGCCTTGAAGGAGGAAAGGGAGGAGGTGGCGAAGGCACTGAAGGATGGAGTTGCAGAGCCGAGGGGCTGAGAGGCTGAAGGCCCGGCTACCAATGGTAGGGCGGTTGGGGCGGGGGATGTAGAGCAGACCGGAGCCAGAGGAACGGAGGGTACGGGCAGGTAGGTAGGGGGATAGTAGGTCGGAGAGGTATGAGGGAGCAAGTCTGTGAATGGCCTTGTGGGTGAAGATGAGGATCTTGAATTCGATCCTCTGGGGGATGGGGAGCCAGTGGAGGCGAGCGAGGGTGGGAGTGATGTGGTCGCAAGGCCTGGTGCGGGACAGTACACGAGCTGCAGAGTTCTGAATGACCTGCAGCTTGTGGAGGGAGGTGCCGGGAAGGCCGGCGAGGAGAGAGTTCCCATAGTCCAGCCTTGAGGTGATAAAGGCGTGGACCAGAGTTTCAGCAGCGTGAGGGGTGAGGTAGTGCCGTAGTCTGGCGATGTTCCGGAGGTGATGGAAGGCAGTGCCAGTTGTGGTGCGGATATGAGGAAGAAAGGACAGCTCAGGGTCGAACAAAACGCCGAGGTTCCTGACTGGCGTTGAGAGGTGGAGAGTGCAGCCTTGGATGCTGATGCTGTCAGCGCCTGAGGTGCGGAGGCGCTGATGTGAGCCAATCAGGAGGGCCTCAGTTACGCACGTTGAGCTGAAGAAAGTTGTCTCTCGTCCAGGACTCGATGTCGGACAGACAGCTGTCAGGACATCGGTGGTCGTGGAGTTGAGGGTAGAGGAGGAAAGGTAGAGTTGGGTGTCATCCGCATACATGTGGAAGTTAACCAATGTCTGCGGACGATGTCACCAAGGGGAGCATATAGAGTGTGAAGAGGAGGGGACCGAGGACAGAGGCCTGAGGGACACCGCACGAGACAGTGCAGGGACTGGAGGAAAAACCATTCGTGGAAACATAGTGAAGACGGTGGGAGAGGTACGACCTAAACCACTCAAGGACAGGGCCTTGAAGGTTGAGGTGGGAGGACAAGCGGTGAAGGAGGATAGGGTTGTCGACCATATCGAATGCGGCCGATAGGGACTAAAGAAACAATGGCCCCTGAATGTGAAAGACAGGTGGTTGCTGAATAAAGGTGGTTTAATACGGAAAATTGGTGATGACTTTTCCAGGGAGGTTGCTGACAGCAGGTTGTTGCTGAATAAAGGTGGTTGCTTTAACAGGTTTGACCTAAGTTATTATTATTATTATTAATATTATTACTAAAATTCAAATGCTTTTGTTTATCACTAAAACATGCATTTTACTTTATTTGCCTACAAATAAACATCAACAACAACTTGCATTTATATAACGACTTCCAGGCCAGGCGGTGTCCCAGTTTACATTTCACGGTAAAAAACTGTGAAGCATCTTTAGACGTCTCAGCACGACAAAGTGTAACAACAACAACATCCACAAATTACATTTGGACCCGAGCTGGGGATTGGGATCTGGAGGGGTGGAGGGCAGGGAGGGTGGGGGTAGGAGGGTGACCGAAGGTGCTGTCGCAGAGGAGGCTCTTGAGACGGGCCTTGAAGGAGGCAAGGGAGGGAGCGAGGCAAGGGGACTGTGGGATGGAGTTCCAAAGGGTGGGGACAGAGAGACTAAAGGTCCGCCAACTGATGATGGGGGACAAGGAGCAGGCTGGAGCTCACTGAGCGGAGGGAGCGGACAGGTTTATATACCATCTAAAACTCCAGAGCTTTTTTATATATATATATATATATATATATATGACTAAAGCAACGTGCAACTGAGATTCCTGACAACCACCACACTCCAAGGGTTATTTTAAGCCTCTTAAACGTCTCACGTCTTGATCTTTCCCAACACAAATCTTAAATAAAAGCCGCGATAGTTCCATAACTCAAAAAGCATGAAAAATCCACTTCACAATACTCCCCGACTATATTGAGAGAGCTCACAAATCAACAGTACGACTGAATATTACAGTGTAATGTGGCTTCAAATTAATCTATATAGCATCAATAAATCACACTGTCTTTACTCGTAGTTTTTTTTGAAGAACATTCAATCAATTTTACCCACTGCAATGCTTTAGACAACATCAAATGCTTTATCAGTCCCCCGAGGTCCACTAAATCTTCCAGAAAGCTCCCATCAATATTATTAATCAATTTGAGGTTCAACTTTCAATGTTTTAATTCTGTTCCTAGAAAAGGGCCTTCAACGTCTTTCACAATGAATGTCTCTCTCCCCTAACTATGAGTTTATAACAACAATAATAATATTAATAATAAATTCTTGCATCTGTTACACCACCTTATCACGTTGAAACACCTCAAAACATTTTTCTGTGAAGCACAGTAAGAGTATATTTTGTAGGCACGTATTAGCTGATGCATTTGCCTACAAAATACACAGTTATTGCACTTTACATATGTATCCTGTGTATACTGTGAAAAGACATCCTCCTGACGTGAAAAGCACTGTATCAGATGCAGGGATTATTGTGGAGTTCTGTAGCTCGGTGGTTAGAGCACTCGCCTCGCAAGCGAAGGGACCTGGGTTCAATTCCTGGCAGGGCGAAAGGTTGGACAAGTTTCCTTACTTCACACGCCTCTGTTTACCTCGCAGTAAGTAGGAACCCGGTTGTTAGTCGATTAGTAGATCAATTTTCCGGGGAGAATAATTCCTTCAAAATAAATAAAAATAATTTGGTCGCTCAATTCACAACTGTTTGTGGGACACTGTTGTGCGCAATTGGCTGCCGCGTTTGGCCCACAAAATATAGTCAATTCCCTTTACAGTATATTCTGTGAAGCGCTTTGAGATGTCTTGAAGATGTGATAAGGCGCTGTATCAAATGCAAGATTATTAGTAGTCAATAATGCGCACAGCAACGTCTCCAAAACAGCCCAATTTCTTGATCGCGCAGAATTGTGGCAAACTCTAATAATAATCCTTGCATTTGATATAGCACCTTATCACATTGTTGAGACATCTCAAAGTGCTTCACAGGATACCCTGTAAAGTGGATTGAGTGCATTTTGTGGGCGAAACAGGGCAGCCAATTGTGCACAGCATTGTCTCACAAACAGCCATGAAGTGAATGACCAATTTACTCTGGAGGGGGGTTGTTAGCCAGAACACCAGGAGAAACTACCTGCTCTTTTTAAGCAGTGCCAAGGGATCTTTAACATCCACCTGAACAGGCAGAGAGAAGCTCAGTTTGACTGTTTAACTTTATCCCATCCAAAGTGTAATTATTGAAAGGTAAGTCTTAAAGATACTGAAAATAATGATGATTTCTGGCCTCCGAAGAGGCATCCGTCAAAAAGCCTTGCCTATTGAATGACATTGAACAATACCACAATCAAATCTCCCTCTGTGACTGGGCTTTGGTCTGTTATCCTGCTGGAAGAATACTGAATCAACAATTTTATTCATTGATTTGAAGCAATGTTTCAAATAACCCATGTGAAATGTCACCTCTCTCCGTGTAAAAGATAAAAAGATCACGCTGTCTTGATTGATGTGCATTTGTTATCCTGTCACCAAACGCGCGGGGCATTAAATTCCACCCAGTCTTAGCCTGTTAAGACCATTTTATTTTAATCGCAAAATTTACGATCGAACAGAATTGCGGCAAACTCCAATAATAATAATAATAATTCTTGCATTTGGTATAGTGCCTTAACACATCATTGAGGCATCTCAAAGCGCTTCATAGAATATACTGTAAAGTGGATTCAGTGGATATATTTGGGGTGGATCCTGTCAGCTAATTGCACCCAGCAGTGTCCCACAAACAATCATGGATTGAGTGATTATTTTAAATATATATTTTTTTGAAGGGTTTATTACCCCCAACTAACAACCGGGTTCCTACTTACCGCTAGGCAAACAGAGGCGTGTGGAGTAAAGAAATTTGCCTAAGGTTTCGCCCTACCCAGGAATCAAACCTGGGTCCTCTCGCTTGTGAGGCAAGTGCTCTAACCAATTCTCTACAAAACTCTACAAATAGTCCAAGGTTCGAAGCAGCTTCACATGATCACATCAGAGGTTTGGATGATGATTTGACCTCATCAGTCAAGAATGCCCACCTTATAACCCTCCCATTAAAATGTCAAACTGTTTCTTAAATGA